TGAAACTTCATAATTTTCCAATCTTAAGGTGGACATATGAGTCTCTTTGCACCTTAAGTTGGCCTTTTCGTGGGTTTGTCATTAAAAGGAAACTATAACTTTCCAATCTTAAAGTGGACATATAAGTCCCTTTGCACCTTAAGTTGGCCTCTTTGTGGGTTTGTCCTTAAAAGGAAACTATATTTTCCAATCTTAAGGTGGACATGTAAGTCTCTTGAGAGTAATCTCTCTGATAGTCGGGGCACATTGAGAGTAATCTCTCCGATAGTCGGGGCACATTGAGTGTAATCTATTCGATAGTCTGGTCATTTTCAGAGTAATCTCTCCGATAGTCGAGCCATATTGAGAGTAATATCTCCGATAGTTGGGGCACATTGAGAGTAATCTCTCTGATTGTCTGGTCATTTTGACAGTAATCTCTCTGATAGTCGAGCCACATTGAGAGTAATCTCTCCGATAGTCGAGCCAGATTGAGAGTAATCTCTCCGATAGTCGGGGCACATTGAGAGTAATCTCTCCGATAGTCGGGGCACATTGAGAGAAATCTCTCCGATAGTTGGGTCATTTTGAGAGTAATCTCTCCGATAGTCGAGCCACATTGAGAGTAATCTATCTGATAGTCGAGCCACATTGAGAGTAATCTCTCCGATAGTCGGGGCACATTGAGAGTAATCTCTCCAATAGTCTGGTCATTTTGAGAGTAATCTCTCCGATAGTAGAGCCATATTGAGAGTAATCTCTCTGATAGTCGAGCCACATTGAGAGTAATCTCTCCGATAGTCGGGGCACATTGAGAGTAATCTCTCCTATAGTCGGGTCATTTTGAGAGTAATCTCTCCGATAGTCGAGCCACATTGAGAGTAATCTCTTTTATAGTCGAGCCACATTGAGAGTAATATCTTCGATAGTCGAGCCACATTGAGTGTAATCTCTCTGATAGTCGGGGCACATTGAGAGTAATCTCTCTAATAGTCGGGTCATTTTGAGAGTAATCTCTCCGATAATCGAGCCACATTGAGAGTAATATCTTCGATAGTCGAGCCACATTGAGTGTAATCTCTCCGATAGTCGGGGCACATTGAGAGTAATCTCTCTAATAGTCGGGTCATTTTGAGAGTAATCTCTCCGATAATCGAGCCACATTGAGAGTAATCTCTCCGATAGTCGAGCCACATTGAGAGCAATCTCTCCGATAATTGGGCGATGAGAGTAATCTCTCCGATATTCGGGCGGGGATGAGTACCCATCCCTTCACACTCTAAGATTATCTTCTTCATTCATGGATTATCTCGTTAAACAAGAACGTATCCTTCTCGTTTGACCTACAAAAAAATAGACAAAAACGCAANAAAAACGAAAAAAAAAAAAAAAAAAAATACTTTACCTGCCAGATACGAATTCGAGCAAGTTTGTAAATTGCAATTGATGCTTAATAAACAGATGAGCATGGGTTTATATAGATTTTAAAAGGGGCTACTGAAACGTGAAGTGAAGTGGCAATGTGGGATCAATGTTTAAGCGGCTCCGAAAATTAGTTTCCCACATGAATTGGGATGCGGTAATTTGATCGTATAATAATACTATGTTCCACAATCCAAGTAGAAGTCTAATTTAGTAGTGGAAAGAAGCTTGATTCTGACAGAACCACTTGCACTAAATTGCACAACTATTTGGGAAGCAACTCAAGACTTACATGACGTGATCTTAGACTTACCTTGAAAATTCTGATCTAAATAGTTGATACCAATCAAAGCCCACTTTACATGGAACTTGCATAAAGAACTCATCTGGCACTTGTGCAGGAAAATGCCAAAATATCATGCAATGCTATGAGTTGGATTTGAGATTATTTAATTAATCTTGAATGGCAAGTATACTATACCTATGACAATTATGATTCTCCATTTTGGCCAAAGTCAAAATGGAACATTAGCAAACAAATACGGTGTTCATCGTGACTGAATTTGGAACCTTAGTGTTTCAAGCTTTGTAGTTATCATTATTACTTTTTAGAAGGATGGGTTAAGCTTTATGTGAAAAGAAAGAGAGGGAAGGACGTTGCTTCATATTACTTCAAGTCTAGTTGTTAAATGCGACGACTTTTGAAGTGGGGGGAATTTGTAGGCATACAAAGCTTATTGAATTTAGATTCAATAAAATAATTTGGATTATATTCTAAATTCAAGATATATTGGTCCAAATAAATATTATGGGCTAATATATAATTGCATTAATTATATAAGTCCAATACATATGGACTAAATGAGTAAGTCTTAATCCGTTGGGCTAGACCATTTAATTGGACTAAAGTGATGAGCACATTTTATTAGGCCCAAGATATCATCTTCCTAGAGGCCCAGTTTGGTGCCACACGTGAAATGACGTGGCACGCTAAGTCAAACGGAAGAGCCAATAGGATCGTGCCATGTGTCAAAATGATAAGGCATGCCAAGCCAAATTAAAAGGCTAATGAAAACGCTCCACATGTGCAAGTGTCATATTCTGGCCAATCAAATGCGGCCTTGTCACACTTCAGTCTGATTGGTCGGAAAGAGTTTGTTCTTATCATAACTCTCCCTCCCTCCCCCTCCCCCACAACTATAAATAGGGGTTTTCATAACCGAGAAAAGAGACCAGAAGTTATAACAAGAAGCAAGAAAAAGCTCGTGGATCAAACGCCACAAATTTCTCTACAAGTTTCAAGCTTCAAGCAATCAAGTTTAAGTTCAAGAAATCAAGTTCAATCTCAAGAACGAAGAACTTCAAGCTCAAGAAATCAAGTTCAAGCTCAAGAACGAAGAACAAGTCAAGATTCAAGGAGTACGAGTTCGAATCAAAGTTCGTGCCAGTTGAATTCAAGATCATCGTTCGTGGAAATACATATAGATTCAAGATCAAGCTCAAAGGCCCTTGAATTTATTTATTATTGGAAAGAAGAATCAGAGGATTCATAGAGATTGTACATTCAAATATTTGAAATCAAATACTACGATTGTTGCAATATTTTTCAATCTCGATTATTTTCCTGACACAAATTTATTGTCTTCAGCTATATTGCCTTTGGTTATTTTGTTGTGTTCCTTAAAGTTGTAAATTTCTGTTTTCCTTCCGCGAGGTATTATTTGCCCTTATTCTGTGTAGTTAAATTGTGACATACTACTTACTTAATTCATTCCCATTGTCATTATTATTATTATTATTATTATTATTATTATTATTATTATTATTATTATTATTATTATTATTATTATTATTATTATTATTATTA